CGTTTCTCACGAGAGAGAGGCACGCGAATACGTTGTCTCACGGGGAAATTTCGAAATTGTCCTCCGCAAACCAGTCCTCCAATTAGTCCGTCCCGTCCGCTGTCCCAGGCCGTCGTTCCCTCCCTTCGCTCCGAACCCTCCTTCCCCTCCGACAATGTTGCACCGCGGCGCGCGGCGCAGGTAGATGCAGCTAGGGACTGGGCCGAAGGCAACATTGTGACGTTTATGACAGCCGAATGGAGAACGGCACGCATATGCATGTTGCATGACCGCGCCATATGGAGACAATGTAGCATGATTAAACAGTCACGCGACGCGAATTGCAGGTAGCTCATGTTTCGGCCCGTCGGCACGGGACGCTGGTTGGTTGCAAACCGAAACCGGTCCCTCGGTTTGTTTGCGAAACGCCAGAAGTCGCGCGTCCTCAAACGCGAACGCGAGCTTTCTCTCTGTCGATTTGCAATGATAGTTACGCAAAGGAAATTAAGGAAACAATAGAATTGTAAGAAGAGATATTAGGAGATTATATATGAAAAACGAATTAATCTTTGAAGGAAAAACTTTCGTTAAGAACATAAATTGATACAAAAATGTAAAGTTCAATCTATAATTCAAGATAGCAATTGAATGATAATTCATAATAATTAGAATAAGACGAACGATTTTAATTGCGATTTCCTTCCGAGAAGGATTTGAATGTTCGTGAATAAATTTTACACGATTATAGAGGTGGACTGGCTCCGAATGGCTGTCTTATTACACGTCTCCTTAAATCTCAGAACAGAGGAAAATTCTTGTGAGAGCCCGGCTGATTGCTAATTTGTCGTCACCCGCGATTTAATCGTGTCGCCCGGTTAGCGAGGCGAGGAAGGAAGGATGTATTTACATTTTCTTCCGGCGATTACGGCGGCTGTAATGTCGCGCATCTCGCAGCGATCCGTGAAAAAGAGGTAGGATTATTCGCGCGGGATAATGAATCGCAGTCCTTCGGCTGATGAAATCGCTTTGCGATTAAAATCCCGCTTGGATTAAAAGCGGCTTGAAATATCAGGTCGTCTTCCGCGTGAAACGACGTATATTAAATACGGGAATTTCGCAAATTAAACGTAAAATAGATCGATAAATTTCCTTTATATGTGTTAGATCGTATTTAGTTTTCAATGTTTTTCTCCGGAAAATTTTTATTGTTATCTGTTATAATTTTATCATACGTCATAGTGAAATTAATCGGAGAATTAGAAGTGTTTGGCAGTTAGAGAATATAAAAATTTCAAATTAAATCTCTCCTGAAAAAATGTTAAATTAAGTGAATTGGCAATTAAAAATTTTCAAAACTTAAGTAATTTAAAAATAAGCAACTTAAAAATGATACGATTCGATAATGCGATTATTTTGATTTGACAATGCGACGAATACTAGATTTGATCATTATTGATAATGTGATTAATGCTTTTTATTCTATCACAATTATCAAAATTAGGGATTGAAAGTCTAGTAATAAATAATAAAGCAGGTAATGATTATCGAAGAAGAAATTTTAAAAGATTCAAAGTTATAAGGATTTCAATAAATCATTTAAAAAGAAGCGATATAAAAAAGTAAAATAATTGAGAATTTTAATAAGAGATTTAAATAAGTCAAACCAAAAGCTACGAAAATCTATTCAAGGATTCGAATATTTAAGTACAACAGATATCTTCGAATGTAGGAACTGAAATATCTTTGCGCTGACCGAATGCGATTTTAAAAAAGAATTAAACGTGCAAGAGAATTTAAGAATATAAATGTTCACCGACATGCAATTAGAAGGTTCGCTCGCGCAAGGATGTCGGGAGGAGAACTTTGACGAAGAGCGTGCGATGCGTGTTGAAAGGGTCCGGCTTCCTTCGTGCGAGCGTGGGGAGGGAAGAAACCAGCTTTGCAAAAGGACGAAGGAAAGCA